AGTGACATTTAATCCGATTCCTGAATGCATATGTATAACGCGATTACACCTTCATATTGTATAAACACATACAAATAGACACTAACACACACATAGACAAAGTAATATACATAGTGAGTACCAAAACAAACAAATTCGCATACAGAACAACGTAGCACATACACCAAGTCGCAAACATAACTTTTTTTTCACACACACGCAGACTCTCTCACACACAAACATTTTCATACAAAAACTCCGTCACACACAAACTTTTTCACACACAATCTCCATTACACCACAAAAACTCTTTCATACACAAACTCTGTCACACACACACAAACTTTCTCTCTCACACACATACAAAAACTCTCTCTTACACACACTAACTCTCTCTCTCACACATACACAAACTCTATCTGTCACACACAAATTCTCTCTCTCACACACAAATTCTCTCTCTCTCCACACACAATTCTCTCTCTCACAAACACACAACTCTGTCACACACACATTCTCTCTCACACACACAAATTCTCTCTCTCACAAACTAACAAACAACTCACGCACAAACTAATACACATCACACAAATAAGCACACCATTCAACATACACAAAAAAAGCACACACAACAATATACAACGCCACACAAATATTGTAGTACATATACAAATGAGTAAATAAACTAGTGGTGCATGGCATCGTGCCTTAAGACAAATTGCTGGAACTTTCCGTACCAAAAATTAAAATTTTATAAACAATCTAAAAATTTTTTTAGAACTTTGACAAAAACAGATTTCTGAGAACTTTAAAGTTCTTGAAGAAAATTGACTTTTTTTGAATAATAATTTTTTTATACTTTGAAATATTTTGGAAATTTTGAAAAAGCAATCGCGGTAAGAATCAAATCGCGTAAGCGCTGCATCGCAGTCAACGGATAAACAGTGCTACGGAACCCATAGAAATAAAAACAAAATTTATTCTTGTTATCAAAATTTCTAGAAAATATCTGATAATTTTATGTCATACATCTAATGATTATTTTTGTTTGCCAAATGCATTTTATTTTACTTTTTTTATTGGATCTCCAAAACGGTTGGACCTGCCTTTCCTTTCAAAAATTTCGTCAGTTCTTCATTTTGTCAATACAAATGAAATGTTTTTGCTCTCAAAAATTCAATTAACATTTTTTGCCTCGTATCTTTGGAATGACTGAACCTGACTTTGCCAAAACTAATCAGCACGTCTCCTTATTAATAAGAATCGAACATTTTTTGAATTATTCAAATCGTTTGATCCGTTTTTGGGAATTGTCGACAAAAAATTGTATCCTCACATACACACACACACAGGCACCCACATACATCAATTTTTTTCTGAGTATGCCAAATGCTCAGAAACCAATGAAATGTAAAGATATATAAAAATTTCGATTTTGCTCTACGAGAAGTTAAAATGTAAAAATTCAATACTAAAATTTGAAGATAAAACTGTTTTTTGTGAGGTATGGAAATTTCTCTAGTTAGTCTAGAATATAATCCAAAATGAATGTTACTACTTTGCTCCGTAATTCAAATTTAATAAATTAATAAAATGCGCAGTAATAATAAATAAAACCTTGAATATCAATGTGTGCAAATTTAATTTGAATGAAATTAATTAATTAGTTGTGGATTAAGCTGGCACTTGCATTGACTATTAATATGCCCTAGGAATGTTTGTATGCGGCATGTTTCAGTGGGTAAACCATTCATTTAATTTGTGGTAGCTGGCACTTTACTTATATACCACATACATCTACATTCAGAATTAGTTATTTATTTTATATACATTTTAAAAATGTTATAGAATATTTCTTATTTTTAATTTATTCCTCATCTTATTTAACGTTTGCCGGTCAACTAGTATATATATATAATATATATATAATATATATATATATACATTTGTGCGTGTCTTCATCTATGGGGTTGATAATGCATCATCAATTTACCCAGATGTCTTAGAGACAACTAATAACTTGATCTCTTAAATTAAGATTAATGGTGTTGCCTGATGACAGGCAGTTGTAATAAAACTACTAACCTTATAAATAAAATAGAAAAACTATTAATTTATATTAGCGCGAGATTTCACAAAACTTAAGTTGATTAATAAATCAAAGAAAACTACAAAAATATATGTGAATGAATTTCATTTTGTTTAAATAAATAACGTGACTCGCTGATATAAAAAAATGTACTAGATCACTTATCTAGTTGATAAAAAAAATGTTTTACTAGATCACTTTTATCTTTTATTAATTTAACATTCTATATAACGGACCAAGATACAGCCCTTAAGGTACTCCAGTATGTAATCATTTCTAAGATTGACCATACATATCTTATATATAAAGGCCTTCTGTACGGGTGTATGATTTGATACTTCTCCTAAACGGTTATTCGTATTTTGATAATTCTTTCTAGAGTTTGTCAAAGGAAATTTTCAAGATGTAGTGAACAATCGTAGTAATAGTAATATTGTAGAAATAAGTGGCAAAAAACACTTATCATTGTTTGACATTGAAAACATTTGAACTGCTTGAAATGTCAATTCACTCGAAATTTGAATTTAGCTGAAATTATGAGCCTAGATCATATTAAATATAATATACAAGAAAAATGTAAAGTTTATGTGCCAGAAATTAAAATAATATAAGATACAGTCAACAGTATATGTTGGCAGATGAAATTATATAATTCAGTTTAATAAATAACACAATAAGTCCAAATTGCATATACATTATTTTTGTAACTAATGCATGTCGCATTTTGGTTTACATTGCTAAATTATTTAACAATACAAAAAAATATTTCTACTCATTAAAAAATGATTTAGAATTTTGTTTCATGTGTCAAAAATTCATTTCTTAGGCATTGGATATGGAATATTTAGCAAGTTGATCTTATATTGAAGAGTGCAGATTTTACAAATTAATTCACCTAAGATTTGAACATAAACAATAATCTTTATTAAATTATTGATCGAACCGCGCACCTTGTTTTCACAACCTGGTACATACATTCACTGACTTTGACTTTTCAACTTCCCGAAAAAGAAGTTCCCTAATGCAAAATGCCACTTGCATCTAATTTTATATACCATTGTCATCAGCTTTCTTCCCCCTGTGGCATGTGTGGAATTCATGTTGATGCCAAAATCAGGAAAATCTATTAATCTTTCCCTTTTTCCAAAAAACTTTTCTTCTTAAGACGCCAGAATGTCATAAAGGGCCTCCTGGAAGCATTCAGTCTTGAAATGTCATGTTACGGGTCACCGATTTTCAATAGAGACATCTGAGGAGCACCCTTCCTCTTACAAGGGGTAAAATTTAGACATTAGGGTTATGTTTGATAGGAAATTAATGAAGGGCTGGATGAAAAGACAGAGGATAAGATTGTCTTGTCAATATTTGATGATCAACTGTTATCTTTTTTTGTTCTAGATATCTATAGACAGAAGTCCTCCTTGACCAATTGGACGCCTGCCAGAGTGGAAAAAGGTGAAAGTGTAGAACTACGTTGTCTTGGTCCACGAGGAAACCCCAAACCAAGACTGCGTTGGATCAAAAACTACAACAGCAACTTTTTTGACATCAAAAAATTCACCAAGAGCGTCAACTCCTTGGAAGATGAAACCGGCAAAAGCACTAGCTCTTTAGGAAAAGGTAAGGTTGATATTGATTTTCACCATTTTGATTTGATTTAATGCTGATCTTTTACCCAGGTGTGGATCCCAAAGGCAGCATCACTTCTGATTCAGTTCGTGATCCGATTTCCAAAATTGACAGTGGTTTGTCTGATGTGTCCAGTGTTGGTGTAGCGAGTGGTAGAAGTGGTAAAAGTGGTGACAGTAGTGATTTTGTGGTTGATAGTGGTAATAGTGGCAGTGGTTTTGTGGACAATAGTAAGAATGCTCTGGATCCTAATGGTGATGGCAACGTTTTGGTCACTGATGAAGGGCATTTGCTGATCAATAATGCCAGATTGGAGGTAATAATTTGATTTCACTCTACATACATTTGACTTTCTGAAGTGTTATCAGATTTATGCATTCGGGTTTCTTGATTATCATTATATTTCAAATTCTGCTAAATTAATTTATATTTTAAATTCACTTTTTGTATTCATATGTTAAATTCTGCAAAAATTCTGTACGAAGAACTTCACACTTAATATATTTTAAATTCTATTTTTTAGATTTTTTAAATTCTACATTTAAATTCTATTATAATTTGATTCTATAAATTTTATTATGCGTTATTTACATTTAATATGTTTTAAATTCTACATTTTCAATTTTCACATTTTTCGCATTATATAATTTATATTCTATGAATTTCAAATTCTACATTTTTGCGTGTTTTTAAATTAAACTAATTTTGAAATACTGCCTCATTTTTTTAATTTAACCTGATCCTAAATAATGTTTTTTAATTTCTAGGAATTTTGGATACAATATTTTATTAAATTCTACTTGTTTCAAATTCAATACGTTCAATTCTATGCATTTTGAAATTTCACGTTTTTTAAATTCCATGCGTTTTTAAACATATATTTTTTAAATTCTACACGATTCTTTTCAAATAGTACTATAATTATTTTTTTTTTTTAAATTCTACTGGTTAACTTATACTTTTTTTTCAAATTTTGGGCATGGTTTTCTAAGATCTATGTTTTATATTTGAATTCTTCTTATAATATTCCATAAGTTGCTCTTAAAACTGTTGAAATTCTATTAATTTTGAAATTCCATATATTTCATTATATTTAAAGTTTTTTACGTTTTTCTAAATAATACGTATTTTTCAGTTTAAGGTATTTTTTAATACAATATTTTATCAAATTCTGCTTGTTTTCAATTTAACACAAAATTTATATAAAATATACATATTGAAATTTTGTGATTTTAAAATTCCTCTTCTCTTCCATTTTCATTCAATATTCTACAATTTTATAAATTCTATTGCACCATGGTTTCCGGAAGTCTAGAATTTGATTTCCGGTTTCTGGATCACATACCAATTTAATTTTCTTAGTTTCCGGTTTCCAAGATTCAAAGTTCTTGGTTTCCGGGTTCCAGGTTCTTGATCTAAAATCATACATGCATTCTTACCATGAATTCTCATCATAAATACGTTCTTAGAGTTGTTTTTACAAATTGCTTTTAAATTATTGATACTCTTAAATTCTATATTTTTTGTAATTCCATATCTTGTGCATTCTATTTCGTCCATTTTCATTCAATATTCTACAATTTTTCAAATTTTATTGAACCCTGGTTTCTGGAAGTATAGAATTTGATTTCCGGTCTTCGGAAATTCCTCTTCCACTCCATTTTCTGTTTCCGGTTTCCAAGATTTAAAATTCTTGGTTTCTAGATTCCAGGTTCTTGATTTAAAATCATACATACAATCTTACCACAAATTCTTATCATAAATACTTTCTTAGAGTATAAATATATAAATGGCTTTTAAATTATTGATACCATTAAATTCTATACTTTTAAAAATTCCATATCTAGTGCATTCTATTTCTTCCATTTTCATTCAATATTCTACAATTTTATAAATTTTACTGAAGTCCGGTTTCCGGAAGTCTAGAATTTGATTTTTGGTCTTCGGATCTTCCTTTTCCTCTTCCATTTTCTTATAATTAGTTTCTGGTTTCCAAGATTTAAAATTCTTGTTTTCCGGATTCCAGGTCCTTGATTTAAAATCATACATACATTCTTACTATAAATTCTTATTATAAATACATTCTTAGAGTTGTTACTTTAAATTGTTTTCAAATTTATCATACCTTTAAATTCTACATTTTTAAAAATTCCATACTAATTGCATTATATTTCTTCATTCCATGTTCATTCAATATTCTACAATTTTTCAAATTTTATTGCACCTTGCTTTCCGGAAGTCTAGAATTTGATTTCCGGTTATCAGATCTTCCTCTTCCTCTTCCATTTTCATTCAATATTCTACAATTTTCCAAATTTTATTGCACCTTACTTTCCGGAAGTCTAGAATTTGATTTCCGGCCTTCGGATCTTCCTCGTCCTCTTCCATTTTCATTCAATATTCTACAATTTTCCAAATTTTACTGAACCCTGGTTTCCGGAAGTCAAGAATTTGATTTCCGGTCTTCGGATCCTCTTCCATTTTCTTCTTTTCCGGTTTCCATGATTTAAAATTCCTGGTTTTCGGATTCCAGGTTCTTGATTTAAGATCATGGTTGTCAGGTTTACTTGCTTTAACTTTGGTGTCTTCTAAATTTTCCAGGACAGTGGCAACTACACCTGCATAGCCGAGAATATTTCGGGCAGACGGATTAGTTCCCAGGTCATGCTGACAGTATATGGTGAGTTGACTTTAATTTTTAATAGACTTATAAAGGCGTATAAACTTGCTCTCTTATTTTATTACACTCGCTTATAGTAAGATTTGCGAGCAAATAAAAGATAAAAGTCTTTCAGTACAAAGTTAGGCTATCTTCAGGAATATTTATAAGACCGTTTTTAGAGAATCTAATAAGCTTGCTCTGTTGTCTTAGAGTAAGATAAGAGCACGAGAAGGAAAGTTGATGATGATACTAGCATAAAACATAATACTTTAAAAATATTTTAAACTAGCTGACCCGGCAAACGTTGTTTTGCTATAATAAGGTATATTCTAAACCATTTCTAGAGAATCAAAAATATTAATACTTTAAGTGCATAAGGATCTGTTGTTTGAATGCTGTATACAATTAGATATTATAAAAACAATAAACCCCATTAGTTTGTCTATATTTTGTCAATACAATCAAACTGCAAGTTTTATACACTTCTATAGAAAACATCGTGTGATCCAATCCGAGTCTTTTTTGGTCTTTCGGTGTTTGGTCTTTATTAATTTAATTACGTTTCAAGTTTTTCAGATTCTTTTTGGATTCTGGATTTTGTGTATAATTGTAAATAATACTACTGAGCTTATACAAAATTTTCAAATTTTTGCGAGGAGAGATAAAAAATGAATTAAGTATTTCTTCTTTGAAAAGTTTCAAGTTATATTCGATGAATTGAAGTAAATTTAATAAAAAGTATATAATATATAAGTCAAATTGGACCTTTGTGCCTCGCCCTGCTCTACATATATACTATATATGTAGAGCAGGGCGAGGCACAAAGGTCCAATTTGACTTCGAGCAAATATAAACTATATTGTGAAAACCATAACAATTATATCACAACAAATAAGACATATCAAACGAACAATTATCTGACTACGTTCAGTAAACTGACTTCTACTTCATCATTGTAGAAATGTGCTTTTTTGATGTCTTCCAAAAATTTGTTATCTAGACCTTTTTATCCTATACGCGGGGTAACTTGTAACGGGCAGGTGGCAAAAGGTTTAAAGCCTTATTATAATTTTAAAGGTATTTTACAAAATAATTACATTTTTAACTAATGCAAAAATTACGGAAGAAAATACTTTTATTATGGATTTTCAAAGATTACCGTTTATCTCCCCCATTTCAAAGATTATAGTTTTCAAATCAAGTTTGTAGCTGGCTATACATCTTTTTTCCTCTACTTTCAAATATTGTTGTTAAACCATGCTTAACTTTACTGATTTTTGGCACATCGGTGGTGGACCTTTTTAATCCCGGACCTTCATATATTACTATCTATTCTGCGATAAATTATGGGAAATTATAACTGGAAAAATGTTATTCGACAAAATGTCCATTTGATCGATACCAAATTTAGGTTCTGAATTTAAATAAGATAAATAAAAAATAATATAACCTAGAAAATGTTTTATCAATACCAATGAGTATATAATTATACAAATGAGATCTTTCAGAACACCGTGTTTGAGAAAAATATGCCAAAAAGTGCATTTTCATATTATCATATCAAAAAAGTTTATATTTTGAGTCTCTAGTAACACTTGCGGCCCGTTTACTAACGTTTTTGTATATAAATAAAACTACAAACAAAACTACTTACTACAAATTTATCATAAATAAATAATATTCGCGTAAAACATCCTATTAAACGTAATTGAACATCATCTGTCAAAAGCCTTTGACATTTCACGAAATTGCCACCGTCCATTGTTTTATTTAAATTACGCTTCTACAAAAATTTTCAAGTTAAAAATGTAAAGTTTCTACGCGGATTTGAAATAATTTCTCACCTTTTGGACTTTCTCTGGATTGGCACGAATTTTTCAAGACTAAGACTGGCCAAATCGATTCAGACGTTTTCGAGCTTTATTCGGACATTTGAAAGAGAGCTCCATTTTTATATATAAGATATATAGCCCCTGGTTTATAGTTTCTTCAAAAACAAAGTTTGAGAGATTTTAATCTGCTATAAGATTTTCGGTTTAGATTTAAAAGATACAAAAATATAAATGAATGTTCTCGTATCAACATTTATAAAAATATTTATAAAAAACGCTTGTTCATAAGAGATTTTCAAATAAAATTCAAGAAAAATTTACAAAAATATCACACTGCACGATACGTTATGGATATTAACCTCATCAAGAATATACATTTTTGAAATATTTTAAAAATATAAGCATCTATAAGACAGTTGTCCACTAAGACAAAGTTTTACGGATTTTAATTAGCTATAATTTTACTTAATATTACTTTCCAATTTAAGACGTAAGTACGAAGTTATCATTAAAAATATAAATAACTACCTTCAAATTTGGTTTCTGCACATTTATGAAATTGCTACATTAACAATATTTAACTTCCCGTATGGTGAGTACCAATAATCGCAAAAAATCGAAAATATTTTGTTTCACATATCTTTACGTTTCAAGGTCTCCTGAACATTTTGGCATACCTTAGGAACAATGGATGTATATGCAGATACAAACTTTTGTCGACCATTTCAAGAGCACGGATCAACCAATTTGAATGATTCAAAAACATTTTTCTAATCTAGGGGATCTAATAAAAAATGCCATTTGGTGGTCAAAAATGATCATTAGACATCATTTTACAATCAAATTATCAGATATTTTATAGGAATGTTTATAAGTACAAACATTTGTTTAAATGTTTGCCTAGATTTATAATGTCTAACCGTTAGCTATTGCGACGCGGCGCTTAAGCGCTTCGATTTTTCGATTCTAAAACAGCTACGCAGCGCGATCGCTTTGAAAAAAAAAATCAGAATTTTCAAATCGATTTAAAAAAAAATAAAATTATCAAAAAACTAAATTTTTTAAAGTTTTACAAAAAAGTTTCAAATGTGTTCAAAGTTTTTGAATAATTATAAAGCTCTCAAAAATATTAAATTAGGTATTTGAAGATTCAGCAATTTGCCTTAAGGCACGATGCCACTTACAACTAGTTAGATTATTTAGGACAAAATTAAGTATTTTCGAATATTAATAGAAATTTAGAAAGAATCTTGGTGCGATATAAATTATAGTATTTAGAAATCGTTTGGAACGTATAAATCTCAAACGTAAGTCTCTTAGCTGTAATAGATTAAAAATAGTTTCTCCGAATAATATATTACATGTATATATAAGTGTATATATACATATACACACACACACACATATATATATATATATATATATAAATATATATATATATATATATATATATATATATATATATATATGGGTATATATACGTATATAAATCAAACAATTATAAATATAGCCAATATATAAATTGTAAGAAGATGCATTAGTGACCCGCGAACATTTTGTTTACAGTACAACAGGATATTTGGATTTATATGTATATGTGTATATATATATATATTATATATATATATATATATATATATATATATATATATATATGATAGCATATAAATTATAAATACATATAAATACAAATGAAAATACAAAAAAGTCTTCTCGAACGGACGGGAGACCACACACGTTAGGAGGCGCGTGCGTGCTTAGCAATTATATCGGCTCATCTCTCTTTTGATTTTTTGTTTTTTTTTTTATTTTGGCTTTGTTCCGGGCAGGTAGAATTATAGAATTATATATATATATATATATATTTATATTTATATATATATATATATATATATATACTAGATGACCTGACAGAAGTTTTCCTGTACCTATGTCTACAATTCAAAAGTTCCAAATTTTTTAATATTTTACCCTATACTTTTTAATATCCTATTTGATGTCCTGCCTTTGTGATTCATTCATGGTCTTAGCATAAGCAGTATAGGAAATTCAGAAAAAAATTATACAGTATCTGCAGTAAAACAACAAATTCACACTTGATTTCAGCACCCAACATTATTGCTTCAATAATTTGGTCTATAGTTTTCATAATTTCGTACGATATATCAGTTGCTTTTTAGCAATTATAATTTTTAAAGTACATTTTTCTTACTAATAATTCAATAAACATTATTGTTTATGTTCAAATCTTAGGTGAATTAATTTTTAAAATCTAGTTCATATGTGCACTATTCAATCTAAGATCAACTTGTTCCATATCCAATGCCAGACAAATGAATTTTTGACACATGAAGCAAAATTCTAAATCATTTTTTAACAAGCTGAAATATTTTTTTGTATTGTTAAATAATTTAGTAAAATAAACCAAAATGCGACATGCATAAGTTTAAATAAATTATGTATATGCAATTTTGGACTTATTGCGTTATTTATTAATCTGAATTATATAATTTCATCTGCTAAATATATACTATTAACTGTATCGTATATTATTTTAATTTCTGACACATCTCAGTTGCTTTTCGGCAATAATAATGTAGACATTACATTTTTCTTGTACATTACATTCTAATACTATCTAGACTCATAATTTCACATAAATTCAAATTTCAAGTGATTGACATTTCTAGCATATGACTGTTCAAATGTTTTCAATGTCAAACAATTATATGTTGTTTTTTTGCAATATTTTTATTTATTTCTGCAATAGTACTGTAGTTTTATAACTCCTCACATATTAATAATTTCCCTTGACAAACTCTAAAAAGATTTATCAAAATCCGAATAACCGTTTAGGAGGAGTATCATTTTATACATCCGTGCAGAAGAATTTTATATACAAGATATTCATCTATTAGGGTGGTCCTTAATATGGATGTTTTCGAATATTTTTGCTCCCAGGGGCTGAGATACTTTCAAATTGATAAAAAAAATCTCTGAAAATTTTAGCTCTTAATATTAACTTTAAGATAGTCCGCATTAAAACCGAAGTTTCTTATAGAAATGACGTGCGAAAAATTCCATTTGTTTTTTAGAATTTTATAACTTAGCGACAGGTGAGTCAAAATTTTGAGAATAATATTGTATTTGCCTATTGATTTAATTATTATTGATTAACTATTGACTTAAT